TCTGTCCTATAATATCACACGAATCAACATCAATTCAAAACTAATGTGTTTGGGTTTTTGTTTTTGAGGGGCAAGGTAATTCTAATAGTTCAATATATGGCCCCAGAAAAGAATTACAGGCCCTGGACAGTAAAAGCAAAACCGCAAACTAAAAAGATAAATGAGAGACACACCTGGTAAAAGGTATCTGAGAGGCTCTGGGTGAAGCCCACCAATGTCCATCACGGTTTTCTTTTCAGGTGTAGAAATACTGCTAAAATCACAGCATGCCAGGGTTTATATGTGCTACAATTCACATTTTGAGACTTCTGAAAAAGAGAAACCCCTGTACTTGAGATACTTTTGTCCTTAAGCATGGCTGTGTGCCCAGGAAATAAATTTTTCCAGTGGTAAATTTGGTTTTAAATGACCATGGTATTTATAATTCCCGCATTTGAAAAATCACATTTGTTTTGTTTTTAGGGACGTTTTGGATTCAACTATGCTTGTAGAACTGTATTCGAGAAATTCAGTTGACCACAAACTGTCCTCCTGATTGGCTATGGTTTTAGTTTGGTTTAATATTGATGTTTTGGACATTATTCATGGCATGGTTAAAAACCATGAAAACTAAACTTGAAGCATATGTTCTCTGGGTCGTTTCTGAGCAAATATCTTAAAAACATATTTAGAAACGGAAGAATACCATGACCCCCTGCTCCTGGAACCACCGAGAACCAAAGAGCCCTTAGAAGATTGACATTTCCCTCAAGAAGCGCTAAGTGAACCTGGTTCTGTTGAGGGCAGGTCAAAAGGCAATTGAAAGCAATGCTAAGTGTTTGTTTTGGATCATTTTAATGCTAAAAACACATATTTAAGGCATTCACAAGATGAGTAACTTTTTTAAACCAAGGGCCTGCTAATTATGACTGTAAATGAGCTGTAATAAGAACCAAGAATTGTTCTGGGGTGTAATTTAAGACTGTTCTTTGGAGCACCAAAATTTGTGCAAGTCCACATATTCCTGTGTAGGATGGGCTTGTTTAGTTAGTGAGATTTTAGTGAGTCAAAACTGCTCTTAGAGTTGTTTATCTTTGTCTAGAGGACTAACAGGGCTACTAAGATAACACATGGCCAGCATAGGTTCAAACAAGCCCCAAGGATTGAATTTATATAGAAAATGCAATGAATGTGGCGAAAGATACCCATATGCACTTCCAATCATAAGGAGAATGATAATGATGACATTGAGAAGGAGGAGCAGGAGGAGGAGGAGGAGGAGGAAGAGGAGGAGGAGGAAGAGGAGGAGGTAGAGATGAAATGACAGGGTGCATTCTCCCTGCAGAAGTTACGTGGGATTCAAGATGAGGGCTTAGCCTGTTTTAGGGCAGAAAGGAGACCCCCAATTTCAAATACTATTTATGGATAACATTTAGTAAGCCTTGAAAGTGACAGAGTCACAGACATGTCATCTGAATGAGGGAGGCCAATAGCAAGAAGTCAAAATGTCATTGGAGGATTCCAGTTGGGATGGCATGGAACAAAAGAACTATCACATATTCATGATTGGTGACCTATCAATACATCACAAGAGCAAAATCATCGACACCATGTTAGATAGAAGGGCTTACAAGATTGGTCCACATCTTCCAACCCAGGCAGTCAGAACAAGACTGAAGAGGCAGAACTTATGATTCATGACTATGCAACACCCGGTACTGTTCCCAGTATTATTGATCTCCATCAAGGAAACATACAGGCTAGCTTCCCCCAGAGGAGTGGAGGTGATCAACTTTTCAAGGCACTCTGCCTGGGGGCAAGATTATCCTCATGCTCAATTAATGATCAGAAAGGATTCTACGGAAGCTTAATCTATGTGGGAACCTTGCAAAAGGATTTTGGGCTGCCACCGCCATCCATATTCCAGCAATTCCTGGATCCTTGTTTTTGGCTAATGGATTCAGTGCAGCTTACGCTTCTTCCTTCCGTACTATTGTTTCTTGTTCATATGCTACCTCCTGAAATGGTGAATGTCAACTACTTCTTTTTGGTACAGTAACGGTGTGTATTCTTTCCATCATCTCTTGGATACTTCTTGTGTCGTTCTGTATTTTGACAATAGGATCTTTCAGTATTTCGATTCAAGGCTTGTACATTTCCCTGAGTTCTTAAGTTTAAGATATGGTGAGAGTGTTCTTCCCTTTGGTTTTCTAATTCTAGGTCTTTGCACATTTGATTATAATATTTGCATTTGTCTTCTTGAGGGTTCTAGTGAGCCTGACCTGAGCCATGGTATTTTCCATTGCCTCATTTCATGTGAAAGTTGGTCATCGAAGAAAGAAGAGTAAAGATCAATCAAGTGCATTTAAATTGTGGTGCTAGAGAAGAATATGGAAAGTATCAAGTCTGTTCAGCAAATAAACAAATTTGTCTCGGAAGAAGTATGGCCAGAATGTTCCTTCTGGTAAGGCTGGTGAGACTTTGTCTTACACACTGGACTTTTTGTCCAGAGAGACAGTCCCTAGAGAAGGACACCGTGCTCAGTAAAGGGGAGGGGCAGCAAGAAAGAGGGCGCAGGAGGGGGCATGACATGGATTTACATAGTCGCTGCACCCATGAGCTCAGGCATAAGAACAATTTTGAGGATGGTACAGCACTGTGCAGCGTTCTGTTCTGTCGTGGACAGGACTGTTATGGAAAGGAACCCATTCCATGGCCCCTAACAACACTGCCATCCATAGCTTATTGCAAAACTGATGTGCTCAGAATGAAGGCTTTAATACAAGCTTCAGTCCTTAACATAGCCACCGTTTACTGGCCGAAGCCCTAAAATGATTTGGGGTTTATTAGAGCTTAAATTCTGAGTACCTTATTTGCAGGACACTATAGATAACAGTGAAAGTCCAAAATCCATTTGCAGGGTCACTGGAGTTTCAGCCTTCACTGAATTCCTTCTGACCACTGATCAGGAATATGAAGAGTGTTGTCCTCAGGCAGAGTGTATTGGAACATGGAATACCTCCACCCCTCTGCAGCCAGCCCTAGGAGGAGCCATCTCCCTTTGGGGTTTGCCTAGGTATGTCCTGGAGGAGATTCTGGATGGGGTCAAACAGTTCTCATGAGTTGGGCCCTGACTACCTTGGCCCTGGACTATCTTGTAAACTCTTCTGTTTAACATAAAGTATGGTGTCCCATGGGTCCATTCCTCCTACAGTCTCATGAATCAAGACTTCATGACAATGACCTTCTGTTCCTCATTCTATTCAAGGAGCTGTGTGTTCTGGGAGAGGAGCCCTGGTTGCATCGTAGTGGTTATGTATTAGGCTGTGCTTTACAAGGTCAACCACCAGCTGCTCTGAGGGAGGAAACAAGTCTTTTCACTCCTGTAAAGAGCTACAATCTCAGAAACTCACTGGGGCAGATCTACCCTGTTTTACAGGGTTGAGTTTAGTGCCCTCCTGGAGTAGCCCTGGTAGTGCAGTGGTTAAAAATTGGGCTGCCAAACTGTAAGGTCATCAGTTCAAAATAATCAGCTGCCCTTCAGGAGTAAGATGAGGCTTTTTGTTCCAGTAAAGAATTATACTCTTGAAAACTAACTGGGGCAGTTCTACCCTACCTTATAGGGTGGCTATGAGTTGGCATTCACTGGTTGGCAGTGAGTTTGCTTGCTTATTTGTTTTTGGTGTCCCTGTAGCATAGGGGTTACACCACTGGGATGCTAACTGCAAGGTAAGCAGTTCAAAACTACCAGTCACTCTCAGGAGAGAGAGAGAGAGAGTAAAAAAGAGGCTTTCTACTTTCTTTAATAGTTAGTCACATGATCTCAATTCTACCTTACAAATCTGGCTAGACCAGAGGATGTACACTGGTACAGATAAGACTGGAAACACAGGGAATCCAGGACAGATAAACCCCTCAGGAATAATTGTGAGATTGGTGATACTGGGAGGGTGGAGGGAAGGTAGGGCGGAAAGGGGAACCGATTACAAAGATCTACATATAATCCCCTCCCTGGGGGATGGACAACAGAAAAGTGGGTGAAGGGAGACATCAAACAGTGGAGACATGAGAAAATAATGATGATGTATAAATTATCAAGGGTTCATGAGGGAGGGGTGGGGAGGAAGTGGAAAAACTGCGGAGCTGATACCAAGGGCTCAAGTAGGAAGCAAATGTTTTGAGGATGATGGCAACAAATGTACAAATGTGCTTGATACAATGTATGGATTGCAATAAGTTGTAGGAGCTCCCCAAAAATGATTTTAAAAAACGTCCCAGATATCCACAGGGGCAGTTCCACCTTGTTCTACAAGGGGTCCCTGAGTCAGCAATGACTCCATGGCAGAGAATTTGGGTTATTATTATTGTTATTGTTTTTTGAGTGGCCAAGAATCCTTGGATAGCATTATGTCCTTGTGTTCTCCCTCATTTGTATATTTTGTCTTGTCTTTGTCCTGTTTAACACTTAATATATATTCTTTATAAATTGTACTTGAGATTTGGGGTCTCTTTTGTACCCTATAACAGGTTATTATTACTGAAGGCTTACACTTACAAAGTAAAAGAAAGGCCACCTCCAATTTTATGTTCCCTACAGCAAGGCTGGATTCTATTTTTCTCTAGAGCAGCAGCGAAAAGAAAATGAACTTCAGCTCTCAAATTACACACGAATGATGGGCATGGTGGTGTTGCTCCGTAAGACCCAACCGGTTTCTAGCCAGCTAATAACATTCATCTCAACTGTCAGTAGGCCAATCACTTCCATCAGATTAACTCGTAGTTTGTGGGCTCCAGCTGGGTCGCGGTGGCGAGAGGAAGCCGGAGCACCTGGGCAGCTCCGGACGCCACAGCTAAGGTGTGAGTTCACCTCCAAGGCCAGGGGAGGGAGGGCGGAATCAGCGCCCCAGGAGGGCACTCATTTCCGTCCACGTGGTTCCACGCGGGACCAATGGGAAAAGGAGACGCCACTCGGGACGCTTCCTCTCCCTAGCAACCGGAGGGTGACTGCTTCCGGTGCCGTGAGGGCTCGGGACCCAAGCTGGTGAGTGTCCCTCTCTCTCACGCTGTCCGAGTCTGCCTCCACTTCGCGGCTCCCGGTGTCCGGGTCCTCGAACCGCTAGGCCGGCCTCCCTGTGCCAGAAGGGGCGCACACAGCCCGCTCCCCACTGTCGGCGGAGTTAGGGGGACGGAGCTCGGGTGGTCCCTGGTCCCCAAGTCTTGTACGCGCGTGGAATGCGCGCGACGGTCCCCTTGGCAGCCCAGCGTGTGGGTTGGCGACCTCTTCTTTCCGAATGCGGTGGAAGAGCTTGGGCGGTGGGGAGAGTGGCGTGTGTGCGCGCGCGCGTGTTGCACGTGTGTGTCCGTGGGTGTGCGAGCTGGTTCCTTAGCTTGCTCGCTTTACCCAGTGGGTGACTGGAACAAGGCAGCCCGCTGTGCTCGGGTCCGGGGTAGATTTGCGAGGTCAGCGGGGCTAGAGCCCGGGCGCAGGAGAAGACTGGACGGGAGGGTGCCTAAGAGCAACTGGGAAGAAGGGTTGGAAAACAGGAACTGGAGGGTCACTGGTATTAGAGGGCATTGTGTTTGAGGAAGCAGGGGAGAAGGAAAGGTATTTTGGGGTACATTTGTTTGAGCTATATGAACATGAAGCTAAAGATTTATTTATACCCTTGGGAGTTTAATTCTTTCCATTTTTATTTGCTTTAAATGTAATTTGCAAAACCTAGAGCGTTCTTTTTAAGTAATACCAGAAAAATGCAGAAATATTTCCAAGGAAACTAGCAACCAGTATTTCCCCCAAGCTAGCAATTTTATGTATTTTCCTCAAAATTTTAATAGCTTATTCTTAACCTCCTTAAGTTAATGGTATGTGTGTAGTCTATTTATAACTAAAAGGAATAATTTGCATACACCATGTCATTTGTATGGATCATTATGTTTAGTGTAATATAATACATAATGGATGTAATGCACCATAAAAGTCACCCCTTTCAAGTGTCCACTGTAGTGCTTGGGCAGTCATCATCACTATTTCCAGAACATAATCATCACCCCAAAGAAACTCCCATGTCTGCTGGAGTTGTTTCTCATTCACCAGCTGCTGGTAGCCACTAGACTACTACTCTCTCTCAATGGATTTGTATGGTTTGTATATTTCTTATAAACGGAACCATACAATATGTAACCTTTGTACATAACATAGTTTCTTTCAACTAGTAGACTTTCCAAGATTTATTCATCTTGTAATACGTATCAAGGAGCCCTGGTGGCCTTGTGGGATAAACACTGAGTTATTAACTACAACTTGGTTCAACGCCACAAGGGGCTCCAGCAGAGAAAGATGAGGCTATCTGCTTCCTTAAGGATTTACAATCTTGAGAGCCCTGTACGAGGTCCTTAGAAGGAATCGACTGAATGACAGTAGGCTTGATAGTATGTATCAGTACATTATTCCTTTTCATTACCAAATAATGTACCATCAAGTGGATATGCCACGTGTTCTAGTCACCCACTAATGGGCATTTTGATTGTTTTACCTTTTGGTGGTTATGAATGATATTGCTTTGCCTGTATGAAATTTTTATGTGGATTATGCTTCCAGTTCCCTTGAGTATACACCTAGCAGTAGAATTGCTTGACCATCTATTATTGTATGTTTAACTTATTTTTTCCTAAACTTTATTTCTTTTATTGTTAGGACTATACACAGCAAAGCTTATACTAATTCAATAGTTTCTGCACGTACAATATGGTGACATTAATTATCTTCTTTAAGTTGTACAACCATTCTCACCCATGGAATCATTTCTGACCCATAGCGATCTATGCACAGCAGAATGAAACACTGACTAGTCCTAGGCCATCCTGACACTGTTTCTATGGGAGCACATTATTGTAGCCATTGTGGGCCTTCCTCTTACTTGGCTGCCTCTCTACCAAACGTAATATACTTTCTCTGGGGCTGGTCTGTTCTGACGATATGTCCACAGTATGTAAGACAAAGTCTCACCAGCCTTGCCTCTAAGATGCACTCTAGTCACACTTCTTCCCAGACGGGTCTCTCTGTTCTTTTAGTAGACCATCGCACGTTCAGGCTTCTTCACCAACACTGCAATTCAAACGCACCTGTTTTTCTTCAGTCTTCCTGATTAAGTATCTAACTTTCATATGCATATGAGGCAATTAAAAATTGTCTTGGGTCATGTACACCTTAGTCCTCAAAGTAGTATCCTTGCTTTTCAGTACTCTATAAAGAGGTCTTGTGTAGCAGATTTACCTAATATATCATGTCTGTGGATTTCTTGCCTGTGGCTTCCATGAGCATTGATTGTGGAATCAAGCAAAAGTGATAATTTGCTACCTTAAACAACTGGGAATAGAAATTCTATATGATCCAGCAATCCCTCTCCTGTGGAGATATCCTGTGTTTGCCTGGGTTGACACTGCGAAACAAATGCGGAGACACATATATGTATAAGAAAGAGCTTTATGTCAAAGAATAATTGTATATCAAGAAAACATCCCAGCCCAGTCAGATCAAGTCTATAAGTCCAATACCAGTCCATAAGCTCGGAACTAATCTTGGGCTTGGGCTTGGCTAATAGTGAAGCACTTAATCATTTGCATCACTCCGGGACTGACTCCCTTTTGCTGTAAGGTGGCTATATTCCATGACTCACTTCCCTACACACCTGTACCCCTACCTCCCTGCTTTTAAAAGACTGAATGAACTCAGAGTGAACAACTTTACCCTTGGCTATGGGCAAAGAGACACCTGATTGGTGGTTGTGCTCTTTTTTTTTTTTTTTTTTCCTGTCCCTCCCTCTG